AGAAGAAATACATAAGGAAAGAGAAAATGATGAAGAATAGATAATGGAAAAATAGAAAGGAAGATGAAAGATGGACAAATAAAGAATAACATAAAAAACTGAAAAAGAAAACGATGGAAGGAAAACAAAGAATAACATGACGAACGATAGAAAGAGAAAAATGATCGAATAATAAAAAGAAAAATAACATAAGAAGTGAAAGAAGGAAAAATAAAGAATAACATAAAAACAACATAGAGAGAAAATTACAAATAATTGAAAATTAAAAGATAGAAAAGAAAATGAAAACTGGGAAAAAATACGTTTAGAAAAAAAATATTAAAAAAATGATAAAATGACAAAAAATAACAAAATATAGCAGAAGATGGAAAACGTTATTCGGTATTAAATTCCGTACGAAACATTTGACCCGCTGACCTTTGCTACCCCAGCAACAGGAGCGGTCTAGCTCGTTCGCGCTATACCCATCGAACTCAAACTATTTCGATGGCTATACCATACCGGGAGGGGGGGGGGGGGTAATCAGATTTAGCTTGGACGGGGGTGTGCGCTCAAGCCTCGAAGCCCCTACCCATTTTTAAAGCCCATTTTTTTTTTTTTACAATTTTCGGGTGTTTGCCATGCAAACACACACAAATTTTGGACATTTTGAAAAAGCGGACCCATGTTTAGGGGTGTTTTTGTTAAATGGGACCCATGTTTTAGTAAAAAAAAAAAAAAATGGTGATAAAGTGACCCATTAGAGCGGCGGGTCAATGTCGCTATTGATGAGGACCCCCATTAATAAGGACCGCCATTCATAAGGACCGCTGTTCATAATCAAAGAAGAGGGTCGGTATTATTCATGGTATGAGAAGATGAGGGTCGCAATTCATAATAAAAAATCGGGGTCGTCATTCAAAAGGGTCCCTATTCATTACACTAGTAAAAGGTCGCTATTGAGAATAGGAGAAGAGAGTCGCTATTTATAATAGGAGAAGAGGGTCGCTATTCATAATACGAAATGAGGGTTGATATTCATAATGTGAAATGATTGTCGCTATTCATAAGGGTCATTCTCAATCGAAGAAGATGGTCGCTATTCATAACAAAATGAAAACGAAATGAGTAATAAACAAAATAATAATAAGAAATCGAAATCCCCTAACGGATAGGGGACACCAACGGCTGTGGCTTGGCCGGGGGGACGCCATGTGGCCCCGAATTTTTGTAGAAAACATTTACTGAAAACAACTTGAAAACATGCATTTCTGAGAAGAAAAAAAGGCGTGCCCCAATAATGTACGTGAGTCATCATCCCGCCCCCCCCCCCCCCAATCATCATATAGGCGAAGGCGGCGAGGGGACTGGGGATATTTTATAATTCAAATTCAAACTGTATTGCTTTAAATTCTCAATTTTGTTATAACATTGGATAACAAATTTCAAAATGATAGTGTAACATATATAGGCTAATTGAGTGTAAAAGTAAAGATGACAGTAACCAGGAATGACAACAATTACAGGGATAAGACATTTGATAATACATTTTACCTTTTTTCTTCTTCTTTCTTTCGCTTTTTTCTATTCAAATAAAATGGGAAAAAAGATATACGACATGATAATAAGACAATATATAACCAGAAATGACAAAAATTTACCTACAACTGCATGTCTCTACTGGCCTTTCAGGAATATAATATATATATGATTTATGATTACCAACCTCTCCTACTAGATGACCCTGACAATAAGACCCTATTCTAAACTCGTGAGAGACAGTTAGCATGAGATGACAATATATCATGCTTTTTACAATACTAATTCCATTAAGATTAAAAATATGATGTGTTTTTTTCTTTCTAATATATATATATATAATATATATATATATATATATATATATATATATATATTCCTGTTCTCAATGTGTATGATAAGTTGACAGTCAGGTGGTATGTATATTTTCTCTGGCGTACTGATGGGGGAGGCTTGGGGGCAGTTGACCCTCCCCCCCCAAAAAAAAAAAAAAAAAAAAAAATCAAACGTGGTTTATTTTTAATTCGATACAAGTAATTACAAATGTTGCTGAAATGACATGATTTTCCTGTCTTTTCTCTCATTTTTGCCCATTATACCAGAGGCGGCATTCCCGGTGGGGGAGGGAGTTGCACTGCATGTGCCACCCACTCTTTAAAGGTTCCCACAAAAGCCCCTTTTTACATAGGACAAGTGCCTCTCTTATTTTCTAATTACTGTCCTTTTCCTCTCTTTTCATCTCTGGTGATACGTCTTTTCAGCGACCCTCTACTCCTATTATGAATACTGACCCTCATTTCGTATTATGAACAGTGGTCCTTGTGATTTGACCCTCAATTGGCGATCCCGATTGTGTATTATGAATAGCGGACCTTCCCGTGAAAAAAGTACTGCAGTAGTATTACAGTACCCAGCTGAAGTACTTGTTTGAAGTGATTTTCTTCCATTCTCGAAAATTGTCTCACTCGACCTCCAATTGGTGATGCTTGATTAGAATTTGCAGTAAATTTGGTTATTGATAACCCAGGACCAAAATCCAGTTGAAACCAATTGGAGCAAAACCAATTGAAACCAGTTGCCAACTGGTTTCAATAGGGAAATTGGAACAACTGGTTCCAATTGAAACCAGTTGCTAACTGGTTCCAATTGAAACCAGTTGAAACCAATTGCCAACTAGTTCCAATTGAAACCAGTTGAAACCAATTGCCAACTGGTTCCAGTTGCCTAATTGGTTTCAACTGGAACCAGTTGTTCCAATTTCCCTATTGAAACCAGTTGGCTTCAATTGGTTTCAATTGGTTTCAACTGGTTTCAACTGGTTTCAATTGGTTTCAATTGGATCCAATTGAAACTTACAGTTGGCATAAACTTAATTAGTTATAAGTTAATTAGCTCTTACACTAATTATCGCTCATGTCAACACAGAAGCATTGTTATATGTGTCTACATTAAGTACAATGTAAAGGGCATTATAATATGCAGACCATATAATATACTTAACAAGTTGTTGTTTTTTGTTGTAATGGCAATCAGTCAAAACCTGACTATTATCACCAACGCCTTTCTTTTTAATATTAATTTCTTTCTTTCTCTTTTTTTTTAAAAATAAGAGTATCAAAAATATAATTATAGTAAAATATAGGCTTCTCTCTTTTTTTCTTATTCTCTTTTTTTCCCCCTTAAAATAAAATGAAAGAGAAAATAGATGAAGAAAAAAAAAAAATAAATAAATAAATAAATAAAAATACGACAAAATGTAGATTTTTGTATCCTGTAGGTTACCGCGTAGTCCTGTCCGTTCTAAGACACCGTCCAGACACCGTCCTGTCTCTCGGGTGTAGACAGGGGGCTCCCTTTGGGATACATAAATAATCTGGAAACTCGAAAGAAGAAAGGAATTGATCAAGGAAGGCATTGCCATTATATATGTTTGTATTTGATGTATTTTGTACATGGTTAGTGTTTTACTAATCAACTTTTAATCTGTGTAATTACAAAAATATGTTACTAATGAACATGCTTATCATTGCTAATTAATCTTTGTATTTATCTAAAACAAATGCATTACTTGCAAATGAAAATTAATTAATAAGTACATTGTAAATCAAAATAAATTACATAAAACATTGATCTGCACACAAGCAGATAATATGCAAATTAACTGGTTTCAATTAGATCCAGTTGGGTAACTGGAAATATTTCCAATTGGAACCAATTGTGTAACTGGAAATGAATTCTAACTGGAACCAGTTGGGTAACTGGAAATTACTGGAAATGAATGCTAACTGGAACCAATATTGGGTAACTGGAAATGAATTCTAACTGGAACCAGTTGGGTAACTGGAAATTACTTCTAACTTGAAATGAATGCTAACTGGAACCAGTTGGGTAACTGGAAATGACTTCTAACTGGAACCAGTTGGGTAACTGGAAATGACTTCTAACTGGAACCAGTTGGGTAACTGGAAATGACTTCTAACTGGAAATGAATGCTAACTGGAACCAGTTGGGTAACTGGAAATGAATTTTAACTTGAACCAGTTGGGTTACTGGAAATGAATTCTAACTGGAACCAGTTGGGTAACTGGAAATGACTTCTAACTGGAAATGAATGCTAACTGGAACCAGTTGGGTAACTGGAAATGACTTCTAACTGGAACCAATTGGGTAATTGGAAATGAATTCTAACTGGAACCAGTTGGGTAACTGGAAATGACTTCTAACTGGAAATGAATGCTAACTGGAACCAGTTGGGTAACTGGAAATGAATTCTAACTGGAACCAATTGAGTAACTGGAAAAATTACCTTACTGGTTCCAGTTGCACTTCTTATTGGTTTTAACTGGAAATGAGTACCCATAACAATATTTTCCAGTTCGGCAATTGGTTTCAACTGGAAATTTTATATTCCAATTGAAACCAATTGAAACCAATTGAAACCAGTTGAAACCAATTGAAACCAGTTGGAGATTTCAACTGGTTTCAATTGGATTTTGGTCCTGGGAATAAATGGGAAGTGTTATTATGAGTAATGCCCCTCAAAGTGAATTATGAATAGCGATCGACCTTCATCTCACATTATGAATAGCAGTCCTTATGAATAACGGTCCTTATATCTTTATGAATAGTGACCCTATAGTGGTCCTGCAGGTAGAGGAATTAAGTTCCACGTTATGAATAGCGGTCCTTATTAATATCGGTCCTTATGAATAACTGTCCTTAACAATAGCGACCTGGGGCGGGTTCCTAGAAACCGTCATAAGTCTAACTTCTTGACTATACCATTGAAACCCGTGTTAATTCTATAACACACGTTTCAATGGGATAGTCAAGAAGTTAGACTTATGACGGTTTCTAGGAACCCGCCCCAGACCCCAAAGCGGCACACCGATAATGTCTCGATATGTGAGTTTTCCTTTTTATTTTCTCTACTCAGCGAGACGGTAATTACTAGCGCCCTGTACTGTCAGATCATGTACGCATATAGGCCTATACATGTACATTACGAACCAGCTAAAAACTCTACAAGATTTCTCCGTTAATTATTTATATTTTTACCTTGTTTTGGGAAACATTGATAATTAAGTGTCAAGATGGGGAAAAGACAACATCAGTCGGATAAGATGTGAGTATCAAGTCATTTTCTATTTTGGCTCAAGTTTCTACGATTCCCAGATGACTATCACTTACGCAAATCTTGGCTCAAAACGAAATGAGGTAGGCCTATGCCTTCGTGTTGTCATGATTGGGCTGTGCCGCGCCGCAGGCTCGGGGGCGAAGCCGAAGCCCGTCGCGTTGGGTTCACTGCACCCCATTGCATAGACCGAAAGCTTCAGTCTCTATAATCGTCGGTTGTTCCACTGAGACTACGTCTGGCTCCACTAGACCTCCGGTTATAGAGACTGAACGATCGCCTATACCATCGTATGTTGAAGATATCACGGCTAGATTTTAGCCGCTAGGCCCCTCCCACAAACATGACAAACTTGCCACGGCCGTATTGTTATGCCCCCCAAATCCCCCAAAATGTCATTTTACCTCGTGCATATCCAATTTTAAATTAGGCCTAGGCTATAATACATCGGTTCCACTTACTAACTTGATTGAAATAATCCGTTTAATGGTCCCTTTTAAGGAAATTATGGGTCAAAATCGACGTCCATGTTGAAAATCTTGCAAGCCGTGTTAAACTCTCGCTGCCGTCAATCTCATCCCTTCTAGTCTACGCCGAAGGCAAAATGATTATGAAGGAAAAACTGTGATAACGCCATTACGAACGTGTAGATGGCGCACAGTTTTTCCTTCATAATCATTTTGCCTTCGGCGTAGACTAGAAGGGATGAGATTGACGGCAGCGAGAGTTTAACACGGCTTGCAAGATTTTCAACATGGATGTCGATTTTGACCCATAATTTCCTTGAAAGGGACCATTAAACGGATTATTTCAATCAAGTTAGTAAGTGGAACCGATGTATTATAGCCTAGGCCTAATTTAAAATTGGATATGCACGAGGTAAAATGACATTTTGGGGGATTTTGGGGGCATAACAATACGGCCGTGGCAAGTTTGTCATGTTTGTGGGAGGGGCCTAGCGGCTAAAATCTAGCCGTGATATCTTCAACATACGATGGTATAGGCGATCGTTCAGTCTCTATAACCGGAGGTCTAGTGGAGCCAGACGTAGTCTCAGTGGAACAACCGACGATTATAGAGACTGAAGCTTTCGGTCTACCCATTGCATTGCTAGGGGGATTCATTTAGTAGTAGGGATCTTGGGAGGCCAATATTAAAATCTAAAATCTAAATTAGGCATTCCTGTATGTGAGGCTAGTTTTAAAAGAAAGCAAGGCGCTAGTTCAGAAGTCTAACCAAAAAATTACGGGTCAAATTTTGGCTAGGTTTCTAGACTTCTGAACTAGACCTAGACCTGATGCCGAAAGCAATTATCTTGGGCTTGGCGCTAGTTCAAAAGTCTATCCAGACTTTGACCCGGTACTCCGGTGTTGAGATACCCTACTAAAACATATTGAAAATCGACTAAATCTTCATCAATTGTTCAAAAAATGGTCATGATTTAAAAGTTATGTTTCTTACCTGTTTCGTGTCAATTTTCTTATCTTTTTGGAGTATTTTTCCTAAAAACAAAGACTTATAATAAACACTTTCTCACCGGATTCCGCAGCAAGCTGCTGCACAATATAATTGCATACTGTACCGATGATGGGATGGGCGCGCGCATGTGTTAAGTTAGCAACCGTGTTGATGAATTGCTTAGCATAGATTACAGTCGCTAACTTAACACACGCACGCGCCGCACCCTTTACTATACAATCAACTAGAACCTTAACTCCAGGAAGCTCAGCGTCGGAGCTTCAGTAAGTCAACCGTGGGGTTATTAAAACAGCCGATTAGGCGATATTATCTTTAAATCTGCAAAGGGAGTACTTAAAATTTTGACTTAAGATAATAGCTAGGTTGCTCGACTCCTCTGAGCATCGGAATGACCTCTTGAAATTATAATTTGAAGAAGTTTTCGATGGGAAAAAGGGGGAGATTCTGAGTCCTACCCTAACAAATTTTCCATGTTGCAGCGTCGATTCAAAATGGCAAACAGAATGTACGCATGTGCGGTAGCGGCACAGAAAATATGAATATTCATGCTATAGAGCGCCGATCGCTCAAAATTGCTGAATATGCACGAGATTGAGAAGGGCTGAGGGTGTTTACATATACCGCACTGTTAGTTCGAGTCGTGCATACTGTATTCAGCAATTTCAAGCAATTTTTATGTTAATTCTTGTCATCTGAGAAAGTTGCTAGCTCCCTTAGATATTTTTGGTGTGCCCGAATGATTATACGAACCTTGATTATTTTGTGTTGATTATCTATATAAATTGTTGATATTAATTATAAAACCTAATTGTTTTATAGTGTGGTTTTTTCCTCATGAGATCGTAAAGTTAAAAGGTACAACCCCTGTCAGGGGAGTTCTACAAACTTTTTAAATAGAGACCCTAGAAATCCAACCAAAAACAAAGCAGTTACCATTAAAAATGGCTGGATATCAGTCTATACAGTACTCCAGTGATACATTTTGCATGATGTATGTATGATGTAAAGTTTATAAAACCTCATAGATGTATATTTGTATGTCTTTATTTTTTAGACATGTGCAAGACAACACAGATGTAAATAACACTTATTATTTCTCTAATGATAAAACAGGTATGTGACTTCTAAGGAGTGGTCAGCATTCTATGGAGGCAAGAAGAAAACTGGTAAGAGTGATATTAAACCTTTATCCAGGGCTCCACACTAATGTTATGGTCTGTATGCACAAGCCGTATATAATTGTCCCAGGCACGTGTAAGTGAAGAGCCCTGCTTTATCGTTCGTAGCCAGCATATTGGGGGAGGGGGGGTAAATTCATGTACAATATCATATGACTGCCTTAGACAATTTGCAACAAATGGATAGAAGTGTTTGTATTATATTGTGAATCATCAGTGTTAAGTTAATTAATCATATCAAAATTTAAGTTAATTGTTTCTTTGTTAGACAAGTCCAAGATATTTTGTTTCTCTGTCTCTCAAAGGTTAGGCTATATCTAACCATTGGTATAAGAGATTACAGATCTTTCCTTAAGAATAGCAATGAAACTCAGTGTTTTTTAATATTATTTGTAACTTGGTAAAGACATGGGATGTACATCTATATAACATAAAATATCTTTAAAATTGCTCTGACATATATTTAAAATTGTTGGGTTAGTTTCAATTATATACCAACTACTGTAGAAGAGATGAAAACAATAGAAACAGGAGAAGGCACCGAAGAGTGTAACAAATATTTTTACTCATCTGATATATAAGAGTGAATTGAAGAGTACGTCAATTAATTTTTTTGTTAAGGGAGGTATCAAGATAACCCCCTTTTTTATTCTTTTTGTAATCCCTGTCTAACTCTGCCAAAGTAAATTTAAACGGGGCTTTGTAACATTGATAGCATTAAAACTGAGAAAGGAATCAGTAAGAACTTTTTATGTTCAAATTTTCAATCAATTGAACCTGATAATGTCTTCTTTTTTGGGAGTGGGCTTTATAAAAATTATGAATTGCCTTTAGTGCTGTAACATCACGGATATCTCCTATTCCGTTTAACCGCCTGTCAAAACCGGACGGTTTTCGGTTAAACGATTTATTTAAAAAATAAAATAAAAAAATAAAAAAATAAAAAAAACAGGAAAACGAAACCGTCCAATTGAAAACGGAATCCGCCATGGGCGGTCGGATACCGGACGGTTAAACGTTTGACTACAGCACTAATTGCCTTTTCTTCATATTTTTTCGCAGATCCACAGAAGTCTGAGTTTCGCAGATTGCCCTTTGACCATTGCAGGTATGTGGTTTCATTTGGCTAATCCTTTGACTGTAAATCACTTTTGATGTCATTTTGTTAATGTACTTTGAATTATGAATTGTTTTTCACGCATGCATGCTCTGTTATAAATTAGGTTGAGGTTTAATCGTTGAGGCTTGTTTAAATAAAATTTGTAAAATTATGATGTAATAATCATACTATTTTATGAATATCTGTGACACTTTTCTTTTTTGACCAATAGTCTGTCGCTCCAGCCTTTTGAACACCCCTACTGTACTGTTGATGGTATCATCTTTGATCTGATGAGTATTGTTCCTTTTATCAAGAAGTACAAGGCCAATCCTATAACAGGACAGGTAAGACTACAACCTGTCATCTCAAAATGTATTCCCCTATTCTCAAACAGTTACCATCACATTGTTATGAAAAGATCTTAACCAGTAGAAAACCAAGGACATCTTAACTTTTTACTAATAAAAAAATGTAAATATTCTGTGACATATTAGCTCTCACTCAATCAAAATGCAATGATTTCATTAGCTTATGAAAAACCAATATATAAGCCTTATGAGGTTAATGAAGCCTAGCCCATGTCCTTTCAAATATTTGATATACTACATTCCACTTGTACAGGAGTACAAATGAACCTTATGGAAGTCTATGAAGAGCAATAATATCCTAGGTTGGTTTCAAATTCACCTAGTCTGATCTTTCAATTGAAATATATTAACAGGATTACTTTGCAGACTCTGGTTATTTTACAGTTACCATTATACTATGAGTTGGTAGAAGTCTGTCCCTTTAATGGTTACCATTATACTATGAGTTTGTAGTAGTCTGTCCCTTTATCTGTAGCCATTATGCTATGAGTTTGTAGTAGTCTGTCCCTTTATCTGTTACCATCTTATTATGAGTTTGTAGTTGTCTGTCCCTTTAATGTAACCATTATACTATGAGTTCGTAGTTGTCTGTCCTTTATCTGTAACCATTATACTATGAGTTTGTAGTAGTCTGTCCCTTTATCTGTTACCATCTTATTATGAGTTTGTAGTTGTCTGTCCCTTTAATGTAACCATTATACTATGAGTTCGTAGTTGTCTGTCCTTTGAATGTAACCATTATACTATGAGTCCGTAGTTGTCTGTCCTTTGAATGTAACCATTATACTACGAGTTCCTAGTCATCTGTCCCTTTAACTGTTACCATTATGAATTTTCCCGTTAATGTAACCATTTTACTATCCAACATGCAGGCCCTAGATGCAAAGTCTCTCATCAAGCTTAATTTCCATAAGAACACTGATGGTAAGTGCATTGGTCCATTGATATTATTATCATCAATGTGGGATGCCTTCTTAATTACGCAATATTTGGCTTTTAAGCAAACTTACTACCCGTATTTCCTACCTATGTTGCATTTGTATGTGTTTGTTCAAAACTCCAAAAATCATAACCTGGAAAATTGATTTGAATTGTGAGATTACTCCTTATACATTATGAATTGTTCTTCTTTCAGGAAAGTACCACTGTCCAGTGACGTTCAAGGTATTCAATGAGAATACTCATATTGTTGCTGTCAAAACAACTGGCAACGTATATTGCTATGAAGTGAGTATTTAGTTCATGTTGGCCTGTAAGGGTAGTTATTAAACTATATTTGAGAAATGGTAAATCAAGGTTACATGTGGCTGTGCACGATGAGTTAAATAAACAATGTTTTTCTAAAGCTATGGTCACAAATCAGAACAGCGACCGACCGATCAGTAGCCTGCTCGGTCGCTGCTGGAATTAAGCATCGCCCAGCAATTAGGTCGGTGCCCGGGCGGCGACCGTCCAGGCACCGAGCGTATTTTGGGCGGCGAGTGAAAAATGAGCAGGCGCCGCCCAAATTTTAACTCCGCGCTAAAACTTCAGCGGCGACCGAGCGATGCCCTAAAAGGTGCCTAAAGGTGCCTGTGTTTTGTTCAAAACTCCAAAAAGGTGCCTGGGCCGCCGCCGCTCGGTGGCCGGGCAGCCGCCGGGCAGAATTGGTTAAAAACTCGCCGCTCGGCCGCCGAGCAGCCTACTTTTGGGTAATGTGACCATAGCATAAGTTGGTGATAGAGGATTGGATTTTTTTTTATACAGTGCCTGTGTAAAACATATTAGCAATAACTAAATCTAGGGTGCATGCATGTTTAAATATTTTCTTTATAGAAAATAGAAATCTATGTAGTTTTAGTATAGAGCGAATGGGAGAGGACCATGTAAGATGTACATGTAGTACATCACAGAGTTGACAATTTGTGTTTGATATGATTTCAACTTTAACAAATCCACTATTTTTTTTTATTTTTATCAGATTTTGTTTGAACCTTCTCTATTTGTTTCTCTGATTTTTTTCTGCCTGTCAAAACTAACTTAATAGCAGGATAGACTTCCCCTTTTAAAAACAATATGAATTATTTCCCCTGGGTAGACTCATGTATCAATAATGTTCTCCATGTGGGCAATGCAATTATTGTATTATTATCCTACCTTTATGACAATGATTCTTTTTGGCCTCAACACCAACAACAACAGTTGACCTTACTTTAGAACAAATCATGAAATATTGATATTTTGTTTTAACAACAGATAATGCCAATTAATGTCATATATATATATCTAAAAAATTAAAAATCTAAAGAGAATAAAGAATTGATCTTTAAAAATCCATAAAGGAATTCATTTCTAATCAGATGTAATTACTCACCAAATATATGCTCCTATACCGGCTGTATATGCCACACAAATTATTGACTAATCTGCGATCAAATTAGTGTGTATTTAATGCATATAATAGGGAGCATAATTATCAAACAACAAAAGTTCAGCTTTTGACTCAGATTTTATACGATAATGAAATTTATGATTTTTACTTTATGTAAGTTTTGGTTTTGAATCTTGGAGACCAGCAAATACCAGTAAGAATCAATTAAATTTGTAAGAATAAGAACATTTGAATCTTACTGATTTCTTGCATGTAGAGTCATTCTTTGAAGTCTATTAGGTTTAAACTGGAATATAGGCTTATTCATCGAAATTGTTCATGTTATGAATCAGGCTATTGAACAGCTGAATATCAAAGCTAAGAACTGGAAAGATTTGCTGACTGATGAAACCTTCAAACGATCTGATCTCATCACCATCCAAGATCCAGGCCAGCTGGACAAGTTCAACATCTCTGCATTCCATCACATCAAAAACAACCTGAAAGTGGAAGATGAAGGTAAGCATTGACTGGGGGAGGAAGGAAGGCAGGCAACAAAGGAGGGAGTGAAGGAGAGAGGTAACAAGGTAGAGAGAGGGAGGGGGAAGGAAGGGGGAAAGGGAGGGAGGGAGGGGAGAGAAGGTGGAGGGGAGAGAGTGGAAGATGAAGGTTAGCACTCACATAGAGAGTGGGAGGGAGTGAAGGGGAGAGGTAACAAGGTAGGGAGAGGGAGGGGGAAGGAAGGAGGAAAGGGAGGGAGGGGAGAGAAGATGGGAGGGAGAGAGAGGGAGGGGAGAGAAAATGGGAGGGAGAGAGAGGGAGGGGAGAGAAAATGGGAGGGAGAGAGTGGAAGATGAAGGTTAGCACTCACATAGAGAGTGGGAGGGAGTGAAGGGGAGAGGTAACAAGGTAGGGAGAGGGAGGGGGAAGGAAGGAGGAAAGGGAGGGAGGGGAGAGAAGATGGGAGGGAGAGAGAGGGAGGGGAGAGAAAATGGGAGGGAGAGAGAGGGAGGGGAGAGAAAATGGGAGGGAGAGAGTGGAAGATGAAGGTTAGCACTCGCATAGAGAGTGGGAGGGAGTGAAGGGGAGAGGTAACAAGGTAGGGAGAGGGAGGGGGAAGGAAGGGGGAAAGGGAGGGAGGGGAGAGAAAATGGGAGGGAGAGAGTGGAAGATGAAGGTTAGCACTCACTGAGAGAGGGAGGAAGGCGACAAAGGAAGGAGAGAGGGAGGTAACAAGGAAAGGAGAGAGAGAGGCGGAGAGAAAGGGGAAAGGGAGGGAGGGAGGGGAGAGAAGGTGGAGGGGAGAGAGTGGAAGATGAAGGTTAGCACTCACATAGAGAGTGGGAGGGAGTGAAGGGGAGAGGTAACAAGGTAGGGAGAGGGAGGGGGAAGGAAGGGGGAAAGGGAGGGAGGGGAGAGAAAATGGGAGGGAGAGAGTGGAAGATGAAGGTTAGCACTCACTGAGAGAGGGAGGAAGGCGACAAAGGAAGGAGAGAGGGACGTAACAAGGAAAGGAGAGAGAGAGGCGGAGAGAAAGGGGGGAGGGAGGGAGGGAGGGGAGAGAAGGTGGAAGGGAGAGAGTGGAAGATGAAGGTTAGCACTCACTGAGAGAGGGAGGAAGGCGACAAAGGAAGGATAGAGGGTGGGAGGGAGTAAAGGAGAGAGGGAGGTAACAAGGAAGGGAGAGAGAGGCGGAGAGAAAGGGGAAGGGAGGGAGGGAGGGGAGAGAAGGTGGAAGGGAGAGAGTGGAAGATGAAGGTTAGCACTCACTGAGAGAGGGAGGAAGGCGACAAAGGAAGGATAGAGAGTGGGAGGGAGGGAAGGAGGGAGGAAGGTAACAAGGGAGGGAGAGAGGGGGAAGGAAGGGAGGGAGGGGAGAGAAGGTGGGAGGGAGGGACTGGAAGATCTAGTTAGCACTCACTGAGGAAGGAAGGCAGCAAATGAGTGATAGAGAGTGGGAGGGAGTGAAGGAGAGAGGTAACAAGGTAGGGAGAGAGAGGGGGAAGGAAGGGAGGGAGGGGAGAGAAGGTGGGAGGGAAAGAGAGGTAGGGATGGAGAGAGAGAAAAGAAATAGGGAGTGGATGTGTGTATGAGAGTGAGAAAGTGAGGTGATGGGAAGAAGTGTTAGAAAGAGAGTTACACAATAAGGGAAAACAAAACAGAGAAGATGGTGCAAACTTCAGACAGAATTTGAAGATGGCAGGACAGGAAACAAAATACATATTAGAAACAGGTAGAATATGAGCTCAAACTTAAATAGTCCATGGGTGTAGGGGAATCGTTGAGTGGTCACAGTAACAAATTTAGAATCTAAGATATTGATGATTAGGGCATTGTGTCTTTATGTAGTATCACTTGACTATTAATGCTTTATTTGTTTTATGCCTTACAGCTGAGAAGAAAGCCAGGAAAGACCCAAAGTATACGCTCAATAAGACCAATGTTGAGACAGAAGACATCTTAGGAACACTCTACAAAGAATACCAGCCTATGGTAATGCATCATTTGATATCATTTCCCTACTACAAATATACCAGTATTCAACATTATAACAGAATGATATGTGTAGCATGCATGTACATGTAGCTTCTCAGCGCAGTTCTGTAGTCTTAGCTATATTTTCATTATAAGCAAGCAGTCAGGGAATAAAACTGATTTAAGTAAAGAGTTTTAAAGTACAATGACTTAGTGAGGTAATGTAGATATTACAAGATTCCCAGCTATCGTGGAATCGGGGTAAAACTGGTAGATTAGTTACCCTTTTTCCAGTTTGTAAAAATCATGCACATCAGGGGAAATCTAGGAGTTTTAATTGGCCCTACATTATTTGTCAGTCTCTTTATATGTATCTTGTACATACAGCTTATGATGGTTGGCCATCTAGTGATCCTGGTATTTTGAAACTCCAGTTTAAAAATCATAATAATTAGGGAATTTCATTCTCATGAAAAATTGAAAACCGTGTATAATTCTTCTTATTAGATGTGTGCTAGTACATGTAACACATCTTAATCAGATAAAGGAAACTCTAAAAGAAATCAGATAAAGGAAACTCTAAAAGAAATCACATTAAAAAACTATAGAAGGAGATCAGTGAAAGTTTTTTTTTAAATTGGACAAACAAGAAGAAAGTTTTGAAATTTTGAAAGTTGTTTTTTGCTATATCTACGTAAGGGAATTTCAAATTGGCTGAAACAATAATGTCATTATAATGTAGTGGAGGGCTACTCCATTTGTTATAATACTCTAAATTGCTATTAATGTCAGTTTTTCAATATGTATGATTCCACAGGGTCCTGTCTTTTTAGAGGATCTATAAATAAGATGCTGTTCGTTATATTTATTTTGGTATTACCCCAATGGAGAAGATGTTTAGGAGAAAAACGGAAATTAATGATATGACAAACGGGAGAGTTGTCCATGACTATGTCACAATCTGCTAACCAAAATGCCAATTTAAGATTTGCTCAGATGTTTTTTTTTCATTTCACATTCCAAACTTTCTTGTCATTGATCTGATATCTTTTAAACTTTGGCCATTCTGTTTCTCTTATTTTTCTGCTTCCATACAAATGAACTGTTTACAAAGGTTTGATTGCCCTTTCAGAGTAAAAGAGAAAGCAATAGGCAAACATTTTATACTATTGTCCTATGTGAATTGCTACCCAAATTGTATTATTTATAAAGAATCATTTCAATAAATGATGTATTGATTTTGATTTTCCTTCATCTATTTGTATTCATCTCACTCCTCAGGATGGGAAAGAAGAAAAGAAACAGAGAGCAGATAAACTCAATTCTGTGAGTATTTCATCCCATATGATTCATTTTAGTTAATTCAAAGCCTAGAATTGACCAGTCTTTCAGCAGAGTTGGTTTTGTGCCTTCATGATCCAACATACATGTATGCTCTATGTTTAGTGTTGGTGCTCCCTGCAAACAATTAAACCTGTTGGTGTTGTCTTGATCCAACAATTGCTTTTTGGTCACAGTGTGTTTTCAGTTGACACCTTATAGTTGTGTCAAGCTGTCACTATTCGTCCTTTGATTTAAAGGGAGTGTAGCATGATGAGACTACATGTTTTTCCCGTGGCCTGACTCAGGGCCAACCGGGTATAATACGACTATGGATGACGCGACCGCAGTTTTCACGTACGTGCACCATACTCGAACAGAAGCATGAGGAGAACTAAGGTTTGTTTCACGAACACTAACGCGCGCTGACCGTTAATCAAGTCCATTCGTTTACGTGCAGTTGTCCAAAAGAAGTTGTAGATGGAGTCAACCAGTATTTGCCATGCTACACCCCCGTTTATTTGAGGACACATATATAGGGTTTGGGTTGCTAATAAGTTATAGGTGTGATGTAGGGTTATGATAACATGGAGGGTTTGAATTTAACAATACTATCTGTGCTTGAGTCTAGATCACTAAGCAAAAGAGGAGTAATGCAAACCGAGCGCCCAAGGCTAGCAAAGTTTTTTAAATAAACTAGTATTGTTTAGTATGTTTACATGATGACTTTGTCTCATCTGTTATTTCTTTATTTTGATTTGTTGTATTAGTCCATTTGGCAAGCATACACTGATATTGATTGTGTGTATTGCTGTGACAGCTGTATAAAAATACAAAAAATCAGTCAATTTTGCTTTTGATTTCCTTGATTATCTTAGTATCTATTAAGTGAATACTTCAGATAATATGACAGTTGAGATTATCTTAATGAAAAAAAGAGATTTGTATTATTTTTTAGGCACACTACAGTACAGGTATGGTTGCAGCAGGTTTCACTTCAACAGCTATGGCTCCTCAAACCACTCATGAAGCAGGTTAGTCAATATTATTTTCCTCTATTTTCCACAAACCATTCAGAAGATACTAGGTAATTCTATGCTGTGGCTCATTAAAAACAAATAATATGATGTTCATGCAATCCTACTTTAATATACTGTAAATGTTTTTCCAGTGCTTGATGGTGACACTCTTTTCATTGTAACTAACTGCTTCTAACATATATGTCATGAGGAAATCAGGTTAATTTAAAGATTTTATTTAATTACATTGAATATGAATAATAATGAGTTGAACTTATATACCTTTGTTCCCATGTAGCTGTGATTGATGAAGACATCATTCGATATGAGCGGGTGAAGAAGAAAGGTTATGTTAGGATGAATACCAACAAAGGAACACTCAACATTGAACTCAGATGTGATCTGGTAAGTCATTAAACATTGTCGTAAAGGAACTTGCATACTGAAACAGGGAAAAAACTAATTTAGTATGCACTATGCAGGAATATTTAGATAAGATATATTTGTTCTACCTCTGAATTCCATAGACGAGACTAAGGGTAGTGCTGTAGCCGAACCGCCGAACCGAACCAAACCATACCGAACGCAAAGGCCTGGTTCGGATGTTCGGCAGAAAAATGTAAACGTTTTCGCAAGCTAATAAACTAGTCATTTTGTACCTAATTTTCATGTCATGATTGCTCATTTTATATTTACTTTTTTCCCATTTTCCGCCTTTGTGATTTATGCCTATCAAGTGGTGGGCGCGACTTCACTGGCGCCATTTAAATACAAATCCTGACCTCTGTTATGTCACGATCGCAGGCCTTAAACAACAATACATGTTCATGATCTAGGCGCTGATCAAAACAAGTTCAGCTCAAACCCATTCAACAACAAAAACAATATTTTAATTGTAACAATATCAGAGAAATTTTACAATATAAATAATGAAATAAATATATATTATAGTATGGTATTTATTTATTCAGGAAAAATAGGGATTTTATATTTTTCCTATTGAAAATAAACACTTATAAAAAACAGTAATCGACGCACTTGAGTCGCTATTTAAGATGGCAGCTTTCATGACTCTAACATTAGACAACAACCGTCTCGAAAAATCTTTAAAAAATATCATTTATTGACAAATTGAAAACATGATTCTTTTAAAGTAGATATTCATTGATTTTAAAAACTAACTTAATTTTTATTATTGCAAAGTTGAAACTTTGATTCGACAAGCTTATCAAAATTCAATGCTTGAAAGCATTCAAAATAATGATTATCATAACTTACAAAACGCTTAAATACAGCCCCGGCATAGCACCTGAAGAGCTCTCCGAACGCTGCTGAGATGTGTGAGATCACAGTATGGACATGATTTGCACAAGCAGACGATGTCCCATGACATCTCACACATTTTCAGTGCCTGTGTTTTCATCTTCTCTTGAGTTCTTTCTCTTACTTCAGTACCGTCGGGCTAAATGTATAACCTATTGCCTCACTCTAACCCCGCACATGTTTTTATTTTGATGACAAATGCAGCGATACAAAAATAAAGGAATCTGTCGCTTGTAAACAAAATAAGACGCCATTGTATATTCAGCTGCACACACCCCAGTATGTTCGGCGTTTCAAGAGGGAACAAATGCCATCCTTAATATCATTCCGGGGGGTTTTCAATTTGAAAGTCTGGTTTCTTTGATTGTTAATTAACCCCTATCCTGTGTATTTACAAGCAAAAGATTTTAGTTATCAGAATCGGGTCATATCCCCTTTTGAATGGTTTGACATGCCATTACATGTATATAAACTGAACTCATTATAATTTGACAAATAATAGCTTTGCACTTATGTTCATTCTTTATGGGGTGTCGTCTGCTTGGGCAGTGTTGGTTCATATAGTGACGTCATTAAACATCCTTATTTTTCTGGCGAATCTCTCGTGTATCCCAGCTGCTATGGAGGTGGTTGTATTTGTATTTTTATAAATCACCCGATATGTAGTTGACCTTAAACTTGTACGATGGCCATCTGTTAGCTTACCAGTTTCTAGTGAAACATTAGTTGACATATTTGTGATTTTCTTTGAATTTCACCTTTAAAATTGCAAATAAAACACGATTCAAGACGGAAATACGAATGTAAGTAGTACTTTTCTTCGCAAATATTTACGTTTAGAGCAGTTTTTTTATGTGAAATTCATGCTGGTCGGAAGCAGTCTTTTTCATCGGGAGTGGGCAAAAGTCTTCCGTGCTGGTCGGGCCCATCCGGCCGGCCCGCCCAGTGCCGACTGCCGTGGCTATTAAACGCTGCTTGCTATTATATTACCGAACCCGAACCAAACCAAGTTCGGGTGAAAAATTGCCGAACTCTGCCGAACCGAACCGAACACGAAGATAGCGTCTGACTTACAGCACTAACTAAGGGTGGTTTATATAAATTTAACAATTAATTTTACATGTACAAAGCTCATTCTCTCTCTTGTCTTTCCTCTTTGCCATCCAGTATGATGTACATTTAGTTTATGTCTGCTACCCAAAATAAACAGTTTTTATCTGGAATTTTTAACAATTGATGAATAATTGATTTTAGATGTTTGCTGTGACTTATTCTATTTATATGCTATATGACATTGATTGTTGTCATGTACATTTTCTGCTATTTATTTAAGTTAGTATTGTCTGTTGGGAGCCAGGGGAGTACAAATTCAAATAATTCCCGTGGCTCTACACAGAGAGGTTAAATTATATTACATTGTTATGTTGTTTATGTTATTTGTAGTTACTGTCTATGATATGTTAATGTATTGTTATATTTTATACAAATGTGAGCTGTAAAACGATTTTTATGCCTTCATTTTATTTTGTGCATGACAATAAAGAAATTCAATTCAACATATACATGTATGTAATGGAAGGATTTGATTAACCAATGAAAGGTACTCGTTAAAAGTGCAATGTGATTTATATCTTGACTACTATAGGTAACTAAGACATGTGAAAACTTTATTCAGCTGTGTGCAAAAGGCTACTACAATGGCACAAAATTCCACAGACTAATCAAGAACTTTATGGTAAGTAATAACTCACTCATTTTTTCTACTGCTGGATCAAAACATGTATCATTTAGATAAATCTGGATGTCACTTATAAATCAGGATGGACTGCTTCAAAAGTGAATATTCAATATCTCACTCCTCTGATCTCCCTCTGATCTGAGGCATGTCATTTTCAGGTTACATTGGACCGTCTATCATTATGATGATTGATAACTGAGCCACCAGTAATTGCCATTTAATTAAGTTTCACTGAATTAAGCTTTTAGATTGGTTTTAAATATATTCCATGGAAATGAACTTCACAATGATGTGGTGTGTTTTTTTTGGGGGGAAGGGGTAGGCAGCCATTCTGAGTCTCAACACATTATTAAAAACTTTAAATTTTGGTCGGAAGTGGTTACAGTTTACGTTAGTATGCATCATCATCATCCACCCCTTTTAGTGTTTGAACAGAAGTATGGCACTGCATGGTAAACTGTAAATCATCATTGATTCATTTTAGTGTTTGAACAGAAGTATGGCACTGCATGGTAAACTGTAAATCATCATTGATTCATTTTAGTGTTTGAACAGAAGTATGGCACTGCAGGTCCAAAGTCAATATATGTGGATTTTGTAAACATGTATCTATTTTTCGTGTTATATTATCTCAAGATCAATTTGGCATGAATTGTAAAGTTGATGACATTATGCAGCAACATCAGTAGTATAGTTGGCTTGATTAGGATATCTGGGATCACTTGCGCTTTAGTGTTCTCTTAAAGGTATTGCAAAGTTTTGGGAAATTTTGAAAAATGGGTGGATAGTGATTCTTTACAATTTTGACTTATTTGGATGCCCCTGTGGGTTTATTAAAAACACCAGAAATGTTAGCCCCTGAAACACTTCTGCTTTCAAGAAAAATTGAATATAAGGATTTACCGGTGCTCCCGGTAAATTTTGATAAATTTCAAATAGCTCCTATGGCCGTACAATGGTAGTTGCGACCATGAAAGTCTCAGAGTATGTAGTTGTGGTATATAATTTCCGAACGAGAATAGCTAATCGGTCGATTTTAGTCAATAAACATTGTTTTATAGTTTAATTAATATCTTGACCTTGAGAGGGAGCTATTCAACATAAAGTGTTTATTATTTATAATTTCATAACTTTAGAGTCGATTTCGACCGCGACAACGATCACTGAATATTGTAGGATCGTATATGCTTCCAATATGTTCATTTGAACCAAATTCATGACCCCATACCAAAACTTTGTATTATCTTTAACTTATTACACAATAAGACGATGATACTCAATTGTATAAAACACAACAGAAGTTGTTACTGTTTCTGTTTACCAATATTTTTTACTGAACAGATTCAAGGAGGAGATCCCACAGGAACTGGAACTGGTAAGTTACTCTAAGCTCTGTTACATGTACATGTGACTAATAATCAACCACTAAATTTTGACCCATTTATTATTGTTAAAATATATAAACACTCATGTTGAGCTTTTTATTTCATAATGGATAAACATTTCAATGTATATGTATGAGTTGTATTAAATTGTATCACTCACCTTTTGTGTACAGCAAAAATGAAATGAAACTCAATAGCTTTACCCGGCATTATCTGAGGAAACAGATAAGAAGTTTGAATAAAATACAGAATAACATAAGCCCCAAGTCAGACCTGGGTTCTGTGTGGGCCTTATTCTATGAAAGTGTGTACAGCTGCATTGAGTAGTCTACTCACAAGTTGCTTTTTTAACTGCTATACTGTACAGTTATTTATGTATTGTATTTATTTAATGTAGGTGGGGAATCAATCTGGGAAAAGCCATTTGAAGATGATTTCAAGCCTAATCTGAGCCACACAGGAAGAGGTATCCTCAGTATGGCTAACTCAGGTCCCAACACAAACAAGTCACAATTGTAAGTACAACCATTAAACCACAGTCTCTAATGTTTTATAGATTGTCTGAAGTCCCAAGCATTGTCCAATAACTTACAGTTCATATTACATCTGTAGTATAGGTTCACTAATCTACATGTATGCAAACGGGGGGGGGGGGGGGGGGGGGGGGGGGGGGGGGGGGGGGGGGGGGGGGGGGGGACTGGGGGGGGGGGGGGCATCGAGAAAATGTGTTAAAAGGGTGTCTTTTTCAGTTTTATCAGTATATGGCGTTGTTTACGTTTTCCTTAAATAGGGTGTTTTTCAAGCACTAATCGCTCAAAAACCAATAAAAGGGTACATTTTCAGGTTCACAGTTTTCAGAAAATGTGCGATACATACCGATACACCATTAGGGTAATTTCAGACAAGGCGTGATACGCCATTAGGGTCCATTTCAGAGGTTGATGCACTCGAGTGGGTAGCACCTGTTGATGAGAGAACCCCCCCCCCCCCCCCCCCCCCCTCCGATGTAAAACTTCATAATTCAAATTATAGACTCAAATTGAATGACATGACAAAATCATCCGACGGTCTATCTCCCACAAGTCGATGTCTGTCACGTGTGAACCTCTGAAGTCAATGGTGATAAAAATGTCTCAATTTTCTACATTGACTTGCTTGTGTTGATTCACTCTATTTTTCAATTTGTTGAGGTCTAATAATCGCCCAAGTCGATGAAATTCTCAGAACAATTATAAAGAAAAAGCACTGAATTCATATCACAAAAGTCAAATGTCACTGATGTGTAATTTATCACTGTCAAAGCACTCACCACACCGATTTTGTTTCCACAATACACTCCTGTAATCAAGACTTGCTGATGCGCACTCCTCTGTTCTTGTCTCTCCCTCTCTCGTACTGGCCTCTTTCCCATACCCCTTCCCCTCTCTCCCTCTCTCTCTCTCACACTCTCTGTCTATCCCCTGATAATTTCCCTTCGATTCAGACTTCTGGCAAATGCCACAAAGTAAACTGTGTTGATCAAAAGTAACTTGGGATAGGATAGAGATAAAGAAGTTATACATTATCAAGACAAACATAATCATAAAGAAAGAAAATGGAAGTGTGAGGAAATGATCATAGACAATAAAATGGAATAAAAAGAAACATACAAAAGGAGAGATAAGGGAGATTGAATAGAAGAATTAATGGAAGCATACAGGAGGAGAAGATGAAGTAAAGAAAGGCATAGAGCAATATCATTCATTAGTGTTTTTATTTTTACTTTATTTTTCACTTTACTCTTTGTCTTATTTTCCTACTAAAGTAGCTCCCCCTTTTTTTTCTTCAAAAATACTTGTGTCCCCTGCCATCGCCCCCTCCATGACCTCATTTCAACAAAGCAGAGTTATCACACAAGGGCACTACACTCCCATTTTATACAAGCAGATAAGTCTAGTTCATGTCTGGTTTTTATTCATATTTATCTTCAAAGTTGTAACAGGTGGGTGAAATCGTACACTGTGTAATAAAGGTCTGTTCCTATTTTCCTGATGTCTGTACAACAATTTAAACCACGGCATGCGACAAAACTAATCCCAATGAAGCCACCAGCCACGCCAAGGCACAGCTTTCCCCATTGAAGTGAGGCTTAGGGACGACATACATGTAAATGTGCGTATATGTGAGTCATATATCTATGCCTTATGCACAAGTCAGAGTCGATGCATTGAACTTTAATAGTCTGTCAAGATCAATTTATGCGAGGTTGAATGTATGTTCTATCCAGGAAAAAGATTTTGTAAAAATTAGGATAGTAATATGTCGATATAACGCATATCATGTATGATGTGATTTATCTCTGTGCTTCCATAACCTATGTACCCAGGCTGTATGTACCCCATCTTTGGCTCTGGCAACCATAGCTCTCAATGCAGTCAAGGATTAAATCCTAACTACACCTGGATTCAATATCGCATATGTACATGTAGTACTGTGGCAGGGATTCAAACCCTGTATCTGAGACTTATCTACTAGACCGCAACACCTCTATATTGTACCGGTAATGGAAATTGTGAATTCTTGTTATTGTTTACAGCTTCATCACATTCAGATCCTGCAAATACTTGGATGAAAAGCACACCATATTTGGAAGGTAAGCTTATGAAAGCTCCCATTTTTCCATGCAATTATGTCAGGATAAAATAATCACATGATGAAGTTGAGATATTAGAGTGAAAGCATTTTTAATTAATATTTTTAGAATTTATATATAATTGTATGATTATACTCGCACTTTAAGTTTTTGAAGAGATGACATCAGGGTTTTGTATTAAGGTCTTTGGAATTGCCTAATGGCTAATTTCATTGATTTGTGTCATGCGATGGGATGAATGGAGATTCGGATATAAAAGTATAATTTAACAAAGGAATCATTTTCTTTGTAAAATGATATTACATGGTTTTATGTAGCTAAGGTAAGTGGCAACATTTCTTTTTCATTTAATGTATTGGGGAGAAAGGCATCAGAGATAAAGTATGGATACTATCATCAAATTTAGTGTGTGGGACTACTCTTAGCGTTCATAGATTCCATCCTGTTGCATCTGAATTCTGTCTTGTCATACCTGGAAAAAAACCCCATTGTGATGGGACAGAAACAAAAGTAAATACAGCACATTTTAAGATAAAAGAGAATTAATTTTGAAGACATGATTGTTTGTTTGTTTTTGTTTTTGTTAATCACAATGAATCTGTGTGTTTGGTTTGTTACAGCGTTGTTGGTGGTCTTGATACACTCACTAATATGGAAAAGATAGAGACTGATAAGAAAGACAGACCATTAGAGGACATTGTGATTCAAGACACAGTTGTATTTGTCAACCCATATGAAGAGGTGGACAAAGAGGTAATTATCATCTGAGGGAGACCTGCCAGCTTGCTATCATTATTATATTCTATTTTTTAACACTTATAGTAAATATATCCTGTCAAAATGTAAATGACATCATCTGTAGGATACAATCAAAGGCATATTCTCCAATGCCTTCTAATTCATTGTATAATTAGATACATGTATTTCATCTTACAAGCACATGTGTGTTATGTTGTATCATACAAAAATCATATTACTGAACGGGGCTTCTCTCGAGTGTGCACTCAGGATTTGCCAGCTCTCATTTTAATTCACCTCTTCAAAATCATATTTTTGTATATTTTTTTATATGAGGTTTCTTTTTTACAATATTTTCTTTTATACGTTTCTTTATTTGATATTACTTCATATACGTTTCTTTGTACAATATTCCTTTATATTGCGTTCTTTCTTTAAAACAATTTTCTTTATATAATGTTTCTGTATACAATATTCCTTTATTTACGTTTCTTATACAATATTTTTTGTTGTTTTAGATTTCAGAGGAGAGATTAAAAGCTGAAAGTAGAAGAAGAGACCAAAGAAAAGAAAGCACCCCAGTCTAGAGCAGTAAAACCAGGAACCTCAGACAAGCCTAGGGTTTATAGGGCAGGAGTTGGCAAGTACTTGGCTCAAGCATCAATGGAGAGTACTAATGCCAGGTCAATATTCTTATCAATATTTACATTTTTAATTGCTTATATACCATTTAGGGTGTAAACAAGTGAAACATTGTATAATACAGATTTTTATGCCTCCGCTACAAAGTAGCTGGAGGCATTATGTTTTCTGGTTGTCCGTCCGTCTGTACGTACCGTTCTATACGTATCTTGCAAAGCCAATGAACTGATTAGATTTTGGGGTCCCAAAGTCAAAGGTCACAGGGCTCAATATGTATGAAAGACAGCTTGTGATCGCATTTTCTCAAGGACTGATTGATGGATTACCACCAAACGTGGGTTATGTATGTATGTAGCTTGTGAAAGCATCATGTTTGTACTTTCATACACTATATATTATCGTTTGTATCGTTGTGTCATTATCTATGTATAATGTATAAGAATTGTATTCATAAGTCATGCATTGATATTTATACTTTTATGTTTGTTTGTACTCTCATACCCCGAGAGGGGTCAAAGAGTCAATAAAAATTCTACTAATTCGAATTCTACAGATAGAATCGAGGGATGTATTACTATCAAACTCAAGACGTCTGTATTTTGCAGAACAATGAACTGATTAGATTTTAGGGTCATAGGGTCAAAGATCAAATGGTCTTACATGTATATGAAAAATAGCATGTAATCACAATATTCTGAGAACCGTTAATGGATTACAATCAAACTTGAATTTCAAAAAAATGCTTCTGTTTTCGTTTGAAAATCGCTCTATGACGAAGGCATCATTTTAGACTGCGCGCAGTGGTTAACATTGAGTACTCAGTAGATGTGTTGTCAAATGGTTATTTACTTGACTGGAAATGCAAAGTTTATTTACTTGAAGCAATGGCAAGGCACTTATGTCAATGTGCAAGACATTTTGATACTCACCCAATTTCTCTGTTCTTTAGATTGACATTATAGAACACTTGAAATCATGCCTCAATACTTACCAGTACCTATTTCAGCTAATGTAAAAATGCTGACTTCTTTGGAGAAAAAAATATGTCACTATATCCATTTTTGTAAATCATTACCATCATACTTCTCTCCGCCCATTTGTTAAAGAGTACTAATCACCCCCCCCCCCCCAAAAAAAAAAAGGTATATGTTTATCTAGAGTGTTTAAAATCAACCTTAAAACCATTACAGGGCATCCTATCCTGTACTTTGAAAATAAAGTTTATTAGGATTCAATATTTATTTGCAAAAGGTGCAAATTAGATTGTTATATTATCATATAATCATATTTAACCATAATTATGAAAGTGATGATCATAATGATATATCTTTTTGCAACAGAGATCAATATACATGTACCAGTAAGTGAATAATGCCTTTGGACAAGGATTCACCTTTTCATCAAAATCAAATTAATGAAAGACAATAAAATATTCCCTTTTCTCTTCTGAAACAATTACTATAGATCTTTAGATCTTACAGACATTCAGTAAATCAATAGGAATATATTCTACCACAAAACTACCAAAGTTATAAGTAGATGAATTGCTCCGCTTGGTATCTTTGTCAAGTCATTGAATCACTATCTCAATACAAATAACTTTCATTTCAATTTAGCAAAGTTTGTTTTAATGTTCACTATTTAAGGCCTTCAACAAGTTCAGCTTCAGATCTACCAAGCTCAAACAGTGGTGGAGTTACAAAGAGACCAGGAGAAGGAGAAAGGAGTTACCAAGCCGACAAGAAAAGGGTCAAAAGTTCAACGAGTTTGAATGACTTCAGTGCTTGGTAATCGGGTAGGATTAAAGCTATGTTCTATTTCATGGATTGAGGTTAGGAACTAGGATGAGGTAACATTAGTTGGGTAGGATAGAAGTCATCTATTTCAGGATTGAGTTTGGAGACTAGGATGAGGTCTTAGTTTTACTAATTTTTATTCTTTACTGCTTTTAAATGTTCAATATCCCTGTTGCCCGAAGAAGAAAAATGGATTAGGTTATGGTTAACCTAGTATTGGATCAGCACTGTACAGCACACAGTACAGTACAGGATCAAATGTGAGCATGTTTATTAAAAGAAATTTTTACAAGATTTTCAGTGTATAGTTATGTGCATAAAATCAGCATTTACATTGATAAAAAATGGGCCAATACCCATTGTCGAGATGGCAGGGGGCATACACCAAGAATATTCTCACGTCAGTAAATGTTCCTCAGGTGATGAAAAACTGTCCCTCTTGTGATGGAAAATGTGCACATTCTCAGGTGAAAATTGCTATTTTGATAATTTTCTGCCTTGTAATTCCCCTATGCTGGGTTCCCTGGCATGGGAAAACTGTGGAAGTCATGAAAGTATAGCCTTCTGGAAATTGAAATGTCACTGCTAGGGCCCGTTTCTTTGATGAAAATCTCAATGACTTGAAGTATGATTTAATAAATCATTGGAAAATGAAGAAATGTGTATCTCATGACATACCAGTATTTCATCAAGTGATTCTTTTTTTTAGTAAGAATTACACAAAAGCAATGAATTATCAACAAAATATAGATTCCCATGGAAAAAAAAGTGAATAAAAGCATTGTGGTGATCCTGAAATATTGATGTGTTACTTGAATGAAAATACTACATTATGTATGAGTAAAGGAATGCTTATTGCCTATTGAATAATATTTCAATATTCATCGCTACAAACAAGGGTCACATTTTGTAGAATGCTGGCATAATTTACCAAACATGTAACCTCCTCATCCTGCTTGGGTGATATTTTTGGAGAGTAGATTGCCTTTTTTAAGCATGACTGCCTCCTTTAAATTGTACAATATGGTGGATTCACAATCCACAGCACCATTTAAGCGATACCAGTGTTAAGTCAATTACATGTGATGCATCATTGGAAAACATTGACATTGTATCAGCTGTGGCTAGGCTTGGTAATAAACCTTGGCCTAGGAGATAAGGGGATTTAATCAATTTTGGTCGGGAGGATTTGAAAAGTTTAACCGGGTAAAAATAAATTAGCGCTGAATAAAAAAAATGTTTTGATACTCACCCATTTTGATACTCACCCAATTTCTCTGTTCTTTAGATTGACATTATAGAACACTTGAAATCATGCCTCAATACTTACCAGTACCTATTTCAGCTAATGTAAAAATGCTGACTTCTTTGGAGAAGAAAATATGTCACGATATCCATTTTTGTAAATCATTACCATCATACTTCCTCTCCGCCCATTTGTTAAAGAGTACTAATCACCCCCCCCCCCCAAAAAAAAAAAGGTATATGTTTATCTAGAGTGTATAAATCAACCTTAAAACCATTACAGGGCATCTATCCTGTACTTTGAAAATAAAGTTTATTAGGATTCAATATTTATTTGCAAAAGATGCAAATTAGATTGTTATATTATCATATAATCATATTTAACCATAATTATGAAAGTGATGATCATAATGATATATCTTTTTGCAATAGAGATCAATATAATGTACCAGTAATGAATAATGCTTTGGACAAGGATCACCTTTCATCAAAACAAATTAATGAAAGACAATAAATAATTCCCTTTTCTCTTCTGAAACATTACTATAGATCTTTAGATCTTACAGACATTCAGTAAATCAATAGGAATATATTCTACCACAAAACTACCAAAGTTATAACTAGATGAATTGCTCCGCTTGGTATCTTTGTCAAGTCATTGAATCACTATCTCAATACAATAACTTTCATTTCAATTTAGCAAAGTTTGTTTTAATGTTCACTATTTAAGGCCTTCAACAAGTTCAGCTTCAGATCTACCAAGCTCAAACAGTGGTGGAGTTACAAAGAGACCAGGAGAAGGAGAAAGGAGTTACCAAGCCGACAAGAAAAGGGTCAAAAGTTCAACGAGTTTGAATGACTTCAGTGCTTGGTAATCGGGTAGGATAGAAGCTATGTTCTATTTCATGGATTGAGGTTAGGAAACTAGGATGAGGTAACATTAGTTTGGGTAGGATAGAAGTCATGTTCTATTTCATGGATTGAGGTTTGGAGACTAGGATGAGGTAACATTAGTTTGGCTCCGGGCTAATTTTTATTCTTTACTGCTTTTAAATGTTCAATATCCCTGTTGCCCGAAGAAGAAAAATGGATTAGGTTTATGGTTAACCTAGTATTGGATCAGCACTGTACAGCACACAGTACAGTACAGGATCGCAGGGGAGCATGTTTTAAAAGACATTTTACAAGATTTTCAGTGTATAGTTATGTGCATAAAATCAGCATTTACATTGATAAAAAATGGGCCAATACCCATTGTCGAGATGGCAGGGGGCATACACCAAGAATATTCTCACGTCAGTAAATGTTCCTCAGGTGATGAAAAACTGTCCCTCTTGTGATGGAAAATGTGCACATTCTCAGGTGAAAATTGCTATTATAATAATTTTCTGCCTTGTAATTCCCCTATGCTGGGTTCCCATAGGCATGGGAAAACTGTGGAAGTCATGAAAGAATAGCCTTCTGGAAATTGAAATGTCACTGCTAGGGCCCGTTTCTTTGATGAAAAATCTCAATGACTTGAAGTATGATTTAATAAATCATTGGAAAATGAAGAAATGTGTATCTCATGACATACCAGTATTTCATCAAGTGATTCTTTTTTTTAGTAAGAATTACACAAAAGCAATGAATTATCAACAAAATATAGATTCCCATGGAAAAAAAAGTGAATAAAAGCATTGTGGTGATCCTGAAATATTGATGTGTTACTTGAATGAAAATACTACATTATGTATGAGTAAAGGAATGCTTATTGCCTATTGAATAATATTTCAATATTCATCGCTACAAACAAGGGTCACATTTTGTAGAATGCTGGCATAATTTACCAAACATGTAACCTCCTCATCCTGCTT